GGGAAAGGGCCCCCCCCCCCCCCAATATTTTGACTATCTATTGGATAAAATGGGGATTTACACACAAAATACTGTCACAGAAATAATTTGCGCTGTCTTATGCGCTTATAAAGATGAAAATTAGCATAATGTTGATAACAAAATTATTTTATCTGGTACCAATCTAAGCTCTTCTTTCTTTAGATGTTAGAGGTACTTGCAAAGAGAGCCACATTTCACACTGAAGGGTGTGTACGTCATCAGTAATGTAATGTTTAAGGTTATATTGGTTGATGAGGAATTTATTGATTAGGCCTATAATAGCAAATTGCATCAATTTATTTTTAAGTGTTCCGCTTCAGATGGAGGCACATTCCATGTCCGTACAAGGGCACACATTGGCGCTAACACCAGGCGCGTAACAGGGGTCTTGGGTCAGAGTGGGTATTTATTTTTTTAAATTTTTTATTTCAACCATCTTTAAAGAGGGTAACGTAACCCTTCTAGTTTAGCCCAGTAGGTTAACTGATATTCAGGGGCCGCCTTTAATAAAATTAAAGAACAGTACAAACAACATCATTACAACATAATAATAATAATAATAATAATAATAATAATAATAATAATAATAATAATAACAACAATAATAACAAATTCTAATTTCGTTGGAATTGATCAAAACTCCCTAAAATGTGCAATTTTTAGAGGAAATTGGGCCATGAACAAGAAATGCGCGCAAAATTTGAGGTTTTTAGGCACTTTCAGGGGATGAAAGGGCATTTATAAAGGGGTGGGGAAGATTTTTCAAAGATAGATATTTTCCCCTTGTCCTCCAGAGGTTACGCCATCAGGCAGCATAGATCAAAGGAGTTATGACAGTTTTTAAAGTGGAGAAGGGGTTGCAGGGTGTTGTGAGTCTGGTCGTTATGTTATCTTCCTTTTTATTCTTGTCTTTATTTTTCTCTTCTCTTTTTCTTTCCTTTTCTTTTCCTCTTCTTTCTCTTTCCCTCCCTCTCCCCTCTTTCTTTTCTCTTATTACCCAGCCCGGTA